ACGACTTCTCCTCCCATAGGCTCAACACAGACCTAGAGAGTGTGTGTCTGCTTCGAGGCTGGCTTGTGTGGAGCTGGGACCAGCAAGGGGCCGGGGTAGGGGGTAAGGAGATGACTGAGTGAGAACAGGCTGTTTAACACAGCTGCTAACAGACTCCAAAGTGGCTCAAGCTCTGCCGCTGGGAAGTGCTAATTGGTTCTTAGACGTGTGAGGCCAGCACAGACTGCCAGGGAGGCTGGCTGAGCTGCACCTGAGACAGGTGACAGGAAGGGGCTGAGGGTGTGCTGGGCTGCACCCAAATGCAGTGATCCACGGGTGCAAGAGGAGCACAGTGTCAGGGGGACAGGCTCCCTGTGGGTGGCCCTGGAAGCCGACAGCAAGAGGTCTCTCGTAGCCTTTCCCATCCAGCGACGTCCTGCCCTCTCTCCAAGCACAGCCTCTGTCCTCCAAGTTTTGGAGGAGAGGGCACTTGGGGGAAAGCGGGAAGAGCAGCTCCGCTTGATGGAATCAGTGACAGATGAAGGAGATGAGGTTCCTGCCTGAGGAGGTGGTTAATGCCATCAAGAGGGCACTCCCCAAAGAGGGAAGGGTACTCATCCTGACTGGAGTGCATTCTCTCAGTACCCCCGTCCATGTGGAGGAGCCAGGAGCCTTGATGATGGTCCCGCCCACTCCCCTCGCCGCCCCCAGCCATATTTGCCCACTAGCATCACATGGCTCTCACCTTCCCCGGGACCCGAGGCTGCTGTCCCTGGCTCCTGTATCTCCCTCTCCGTCTGTGTTTCCGCATTCTGCAGCTGAAGGGCCAGAGTCTGGGTGCCCTGAGACGTCACTGAGGTGGTGGGGTTCCGGGGCTGCAACCCAATTGCATTCATCAGACCCATGTCTCTGTCTGTCCTCCATGTGGCTCTGCTGGTTCTAGGGAGAGAAAGGTGGACTGAAATCAGGCAGGGCTTGGGACAGCACCCCTCAGAGCTCTGCTGGCTCCATGCCAAGCCTCGGGCACAGGCTTGACCAGGGCTGCAGGCTAAGCAGCAGCCCTGCCCACCCACAGCTACCTCCCAACCCAGTGAACTCGCCTGTGTCCCTTCTCCTTCCTATCAGTCCATGCCCGAGACAAGGAAAGGCTGCCACAGAGCCATCCAATTTTGCAAGCCCAGCTGGTTCAGCCACTCCCTTAAACAAAGGGGACTTTCTGATGAGGTAGAGACGGCTAACGTAAAAGACTTTTTTAGATACAGGAAGCCCCTAACTGAGATCCATGGGAGAAACAGTGAGCAGTAGAAGGACCTTTCTCTCTTTAGCATTTCCTTCCTTCTATATGCTGACAAGGTTCCAGTTTACATCCACTGGATCTCCACTGTGGAGGAAAAGTACCCAGACTCGTATGAAGCTGTTCTGGGACCCTTCAGGGCCTTCTGAAAAGCTGCCCTATGAGAAAGGCCCGGGCCCAAGGCCAGCACCCTCTCCCCTTGGGCATTTCCAGGCTCTGAGCCTTGGGGTGGCTAGCTGGAAGCAGAGGAAGCCCAGGACTTCTGAGAGGGTCACTCATATTTCTAGCTGTTTCTGGGGACGATTTCTGCAGCTGGGCCCTCTAGGAAACAGTGCTTGCCTTTGTTTTCTCAAAATATTCATCTTCATTCGTGAGTTAAATGATAAGAGGGTTAGTACCAGGTTTCTACTCTCTAAATGGACCCTGGACTGCAGCTCTGGGCAGCTTGGTCCTGGAGGCCCTAGTCACCTGGGAGATCACTGACAGATTCTCCCTGAGGACATGAGCACGCATCCTAGGGACAGGCTCCCTCTCCAGTGCCCTGGCTTCTCCCCTCACCACAGGGTGGGAGAGGACCAGAAGGTGTCCTAGCTTGTTCTACACCAAGACCCTAAGAGCAGAGGTTTTGTTCTTTCTTAGACATGGACATCAATATATTTTTATTGATTTCAGAGAGGAAGGGAGAAGGAGAGATAGATAGAAACATCTATGACGAGAGAGAACCATTGATCGGCTGCCTCCTGCACACCCGCTACTGGGGATCAAGCTTGCAACCCAGGCATGTGCCCAACTGGACTCGAACCTGGGACCCTTCAATCCACTGAGCCAAACCAGCTAGGGCAACACCATTTTCTTGAATGAAATCGCGTGCAAAGGCTCAATGCATGAAGCAGATCAAAGAGGAACTGCTCTGATTGAGGAGTGGTACCCAGAGAGCCCTGGGTACAGTCTGAGGGCATCGCTCGGGAGCCCATCAGAAGCAGGAAGCAGGGGCAGACCTCAGTCCGCTGCACCCTCCTCCTTCAAACACTCACCCGGGCCTCTCACTGCTCCGGCTGCTGGAGTGGACCGTGAAGACAGTCTCGTTCAGCTGGTCCCAGTAGTACTCAATGCCTGAGTTCGAGGCCCTGAAAGTCAGTGGGGAAGGACAGAGGAGAAGGTGGAAGGCGTTAGAGAGGGACTGGCCAGAACTTTTCACAATTCCCAAGCTTTGTAAACTGTGGCCCAGGAACCCTCCGTCCTCACTCCTGGGCGGGGCCGAGAGGCACTCCACTGGGACGCTCAGCGCTCAGCGTGGAGCACTTCAGGCAAATGCCTGCAGAGCTGGTTTTAGCCTCTTCTTCCCGCAGACAAAGCCTGACTGGCTCCACCTTGGGGCTGAGAGACAGCTAAAAAAATGGCCACAGCAGACGCAGGCACTGGGTTCTGAGTGCTCTTCAGACACAGAGAAAGGAGCTAAGATGGCAAATGGGAGGCTGGAGAGGCCCTGGAGAGACAGGGTGCCACGACTGCCCTGCCTACAGGTCCTGCTTCGTGCTCAGAAACAGGCTCCACACACAGAGGGCAGGTGCCCACTGCCATGCGGCAGGGAAGGAGCACAGGGCTCCCGGCGTTCTCCACTTGCCTGGAGCTCAGAAGTCTAAGCAGACAAAAGCCCCCACTGAGCTGTAAGAGCCCCCACTTCTTTCTATTCTGGACCTACAGCCTCCTAGGCCAGGGCAGGTTGGACAAGCAATGGGGAAGATGCTCCTCAAGCTGAAGGAGACACGAGGCTGCTCACGAACTTCTCATGGGGAAGGAAGGAGAGAAACTCAGGTGGTGATGGCTGGACTGTTGGTGGCACAGCTGCCAGAGGGAAGCGGTGGCCTCTCATCCTTCTATTGACTTGCACACAAGACTGCTTTGCTCTGCTTTCTTTCTTTTCTTTTTGTCAATCCTCACCCAAGGATATTTTTCCCATTAATTCTGAGAGAGTGGAAGGGAGGGGGAGAGACAAAGAGAAACATCAATGTGATGTTTCTATTGGTTGCCCCCCACACGCGCACCAACCAGGGCCAGGGATCGAGCCTGCAACCAAGGTACAAGCCTTGACTGGAATTGAACCCCAGACCCTTCAGTCCATGGGCCAATGCTCTAACCACTAAGCAACCGGCTAGGGCTGCTTTGCTTTCTGATTCCTCCCTGGAAGGTATTACCTAGACCCGTGGTCGGCAAACTGCGGCTCGCAGTCACTGTGGCTGAGAGTGAGGTGTGATGCGGGTGGTGAAAGCAGAGGGACAGAAGTTGGGAAGGAGGGACCTTTGATTAGAAGTCTGGCATCCCTGTAGAGATCCTACGCTACACGCTACAGCCAGTTCTGATCCCAGATGGGGCAGGACGTGCCCATGTGCATGAAGAGCTCTGCTAGTGCTAGGGACTGAACTGCATGTTGAAGCTGGTCCCCCAATGTGGTTATGTCTGGAGACAGGGTCTTCAGGAGGTAATCCTATATAATAAATAAGTCTAATATGCTGCCCTAGCTGGTTTGGCTCAGTGGATAGAGCGTCAGCCTGCGGACTGAAGGGTCCCGGGTTCGATTCCGGTCAAGGGCACATGCCTAGGTTGCAGGCTCGATCCCCAGTGGGGGGCGTGCGGGAGTGCCAATCGGATATTCTCTCATCATTGATGTTTCCACCTCTCTCTCCCTCTCCCTTCCTTTCTGAAATCAATAAAAATGTATTTTTTTTAAAAAGTCTAATATACAAATTATCCCCTCAACTGGGAGTTCAAAGGGGAGTTCGGCAAGGGGGTGGGGTCAGTCGCCAACCGCCCGTGGCCCCTCCCCTCAGCCAGGTGGATCCCACCTGTGCACGAATTTGTGCACCGGGCCTCTAGTTAAGGTCATAAATGTGAGACCCTTACACAACAGGACTGTGGCCTTCTCACCATGTGAAGACAGAGTGAGAACATGACCCTCTGCAACTCAGGAAGGGTTCTCACCAGAATGGGCCACGCTGGCTTCAGCCTCCAGGCTGCGAGGAGGAACAGTCATTGATTAAGCCATCCAGCCCATGTACTCTCTTAAGGAGGCCTGCGCAGACGATGACAATCTCCAATGAAAGCCAGCTTTTTAACCTATGGGCCCAGGTCACCTTCCTCTAACGACAGAACTTCTTCCATGAAGAGGAAACAAATTAGTCAGCAGGTTCTGAGGATCAGCCAGGAGGTGAGATTGTGAAGGGGAGCAGCAGGTTCTGAGGGTCGGCCAGGTGAGACTGTGAAGGGTGATGTAGATGCTTTCTTCTTAAACAAGAGGACTAGACAATCCCTGATATGGGATGTGACAGGACTTGGATGAGGAGGGAATGTATGTTGGAGGCTGTGCTCTACAGTGAAAGGAAACTGGCCTGGCACTGAGCCCCCAAGCCTGTCTTTAGAGCAGGGGTGGGGAACCTTTTTTCTGCCAAGGGCCATTTGGATATTTATAGTATCATTTACAGGCCATATAATTGTCAACTTAAAAATTAGCTGCTATATTTAATTAACTCACCTTTAATGCCTTGCCAGGGCCAGACCAAATGATTTCTCAGGCCTTATACAGCTCGAGGGCTGGATGTTCCCCACCCTTGCTTTAGAGCAGCGGTTCTCAACCTGTGGGTCGCGACCCCCTTGGTGGTCAAACGACCCTTTCACAGGGGTCACCTAAGACCATCCTGCATATCAGATATTTACATTTCGATTCATAACAGTAGCAACATTACAGTTATGAAGTAGCAACGAAAATAATTTTATGGTTGGGTCACAACATGAAGAACTGTATTTAAAGGGACAGAAGGTTGAGAACCACTGCTTTAAAGGATCCCTAAGATTCTGGGGACAGGGTTCACCTGAGGGCACACTAGTGATTTTGGAGGGAAAGAGCCCCAGCCTGCCAAAAAGTGCTCTTCCTTTCCCTGCTCTATGTAATCCTCCAGACAACTCCCAGAGGGCCTGGGAACCCCTTTAAAATGGAGCATCTCCTCCCTCTTCCAAACACTCAGCTGCTTGGTGGGGTTGTCTGAGAACCACGGGCATGGGTGAGTGACGGTGAGGGGGGCAGATCTTGTATTAGGGAAAAGGCAAATGCCACAAGTCAACAGCAGAGGCCTTCCAAAACAAAGCCATCACTGCCAGCTGCCAGGGAGCCTCTGATTTGCAAACTTGTCAGGATTTATTGACAGGTGGCAATACCATGTGGGTCCCTGCCAATCCTTCCTCTGTAATTCCTGCTAGCCAGGGCTGGTTACTGACAACAAATTGTTCACGCCAAACCATGTACCAGAACCTTCCTTTCCATCACAGGAAAGAGACCACTGAAGGCCCACTCGGAGCTGGGACTGTCAGCGCGATGCTGATGGTCAAAGGGTCCCCCTTAAACTCTTCCCACCCATCTGGCTCAGAGCTGGGGACTCTGGCCACTGAAACAGAACAGGATGATAGACTGCATCAGATGCACTGCTGCACCCTCCCCCCTCCCCCCAAGCCTTTCTGTTCCCCATCAACAGGTCTATTTCTAATCCTGATATGGCTCCTTTCTGTGGTCGGAAAAGCTCAAATACAACAAGCTCAAGGATTTGAAAATTCCAGGTACCAAGGAACAGAGTTGAAGGAACATCTCTGGCCACAGAAACTCAGTCTTCAATGCCAATGGGCCTAACCACCTCCATCTCCCTGGGGCTTAATGAGGATGAACGAGTCACTATTTGCTCCAGGTTCTTCCTGGGGGCTTAGCAAACACACAAAGGGATGGAGACAATGGCAAGGCCAGTCAGATCAGCCTTTTCAGATGGACTTCCACTTAACACCCGGCTTCTTTCAGCAGCGTCTGTAAGCTGTGCTTCTGAACACAGCCAGGAGCCCGCCTGGCCTCCTCAGTGGTGACAATGCTCCACAAAGAACTCTGGCTCTGAACTTCCCAACTTCTAGGGAATATTCCCTTTGAGAACACTCTTCTTTCATCTACTGGTTGCATGGCTGTCTCCTTGGAGAAAAGGACTGTTTTGAGGAGACCGGCATTCATCCCTGCTATCCCCATGACGCGGGAAAGAGTTGGCACCTGGCTCTTGTGGGACAGACAGCCTGAAAGACAGTTGCTGTGGCTTCCCTTTTGATTCAGAGGCGTGCCTTTCCCCTCTGTGGTCAATGATGCTTGATTGTAATCACTGTTTACAGTGGCAGCTCCCTCTCAGGGGACAGAGCTGGGACCCTGTCAGGAGCCCCACACTCAGCCAAAGGCCAGATGCCCCACAGCCCGAGCCTACTTTTTTCTGTGAATTCTGCCTTCTGAGCTGACTCTGAGAAGTGGTCTTCCCAGAAACACCTCTCTCCCATTTGTAGGGCTGATCTATGAAGCCGGAAGTGAGCAAGCACCCCCTCACATCAATCTGGTATTTCACACCCACTGTGGTTATTGGTGGGGGTGTTGGCTGGGCTGGCAGTCAGCCAGAGGCAGAGCAGCAGCTTGGAGGAGTGGCAGTGGGGGAGCAAAGCCAAGGAGAAAGGAGCACCTTGCCGCCTTGGCGACCAGCCACCGTAATGGCTTTGTACAGGGGCTGAAGGGTCAGTTATTTGTCTCCTCACTGGTCCTAAGAATTTCTTTCCCTAGAGAGATGGAGTGTTTCCTTAGGTCTTTTTCTACTGTCAGGGGGAGTGTCAGTACCACCAAGAGATGCCCAAGGAGCTTGTGACCCCTGTCTTTGTGCTTGGAGAGAGCACTGAGGCTAAGACAATGAAGGAGAAATCAAGAGTATACTTGAGAGCACAAAATGAGGTGCAGCTGCCTGTGCCTGGGACAAAGGCAGAAACCACCTGTTTTGGAGGGAGGGCTGTAATCTTAGCCCAGCTGGCTGGCTGGATCCTGTGCCCTTGGGAACGGGTGTGCCAGGGAGCTGCATCACACAAGGACAGGCAGCAACCTTGTAAAGAGACGACAGCCCTGAGCTCCTACATTCTCATTTGTGTTTGTTCTCCTCATTCTAGGCCAGAGACCAGCCACAGTGACAACACAGAGAGACTGCCCTCTCCGCATCACTCACACGACATGCTTATCATCAACCCCATCCAGAGCTGCATTCTTTCCCTGAGGTCTTAGGAGAGTTACAAAGTTACATGAGTGTTCTTTTAGTATGTTTTTCTGTGGAAGAGAGTGCATGGCTTTAATCAGAATTTTATTTTATTTATTAAGGGAAAAAAAATATTTTGTTAATCCTTATCTGAGGATATTTTTTCCATTGATTATCAGAGAGAGTGGGGGGGGGGGGAAGAGAAAGGGAGAGCAAGAGAGAGAGAAACAATGATGCAAGAGAGACATATCAACTGATTGCCTCCCGCACACACCCCAACTGGTTATGGGGATCGAACCTGCAACCCTTCGATGAATAGGCCAACACTCTAACCATTTAGACATACCGGCCAGGGCTTATCAGAATTTTAAAGGAATTTTTTATTGAAAAAAGGTTAAAAACCAGCTACAGGATAAGAGCTCTGGACTGGAAAGTTAGGAAGCCCAATTCCTTCATTGATCTTTTGGGAGGCCTTGGGTGAGCCTTCACTCAACCTTATCTGAATACTGTTCAGTCTTCCCTGCCTGAAGCAAACCAACCACACAGACTTAGAACTGGAGAAGCTTTGAGTGACTTAGGACAAAGTCCGTCCGTATTAATATACATGTACCCTAATGTCCAGCCCTAAGGTTTGGGGCATATGCCAACACGACCCAAGAAATCAGGAAAAACAGCAACACTGAAATAGGCCGGCTAAGGTAGCTCTCTCCGTCCAACATGACTTCATTTGTGATGGGATGCTGTTTCCTGTGTCAAATGCTGGTGCCACCCTGCTCATAAAAGAGGCTTCAGTTCCTGGTGGTAAGAGAGCTCCCCAAGCAGTCCAAGATGGCTTTGGCCTGCTGAGGCTCTGGCTGCCAAAGACGACATATGGTGAGGAAAGATAGGCCAAAGCCAGCTTCATGCTTCCCTGAGGTGTCTATGACTCACACCAAGTACGTGGGCTGGGGTTTCAGACATCAAAGTCCTCGGGGGCCACGACTAACTGGAGGTAGAGATTCTGCCTCTGTAAGAGCAGATCACGTCTACAAGGGGTGGGGGCTGGGAGTCTGGCTGGGAGGAAGGTTAGTGGAGGATCCATAGAGAAGACAACAACGCTGAGGAAGGATGTCTTGGAGAAAGAGGGAAAGAAAGGCCTGTAACTACCGTGTTCATAAGAGTAAAATTAAGGTCCAGAATTCTGGGCCGTTTTGAAAAACATGCCTATGAATTCCAAAGAAAAGAGGAAGATATAAGATAATCAGACTCATGTACTTTGGGAAAAATAAATATTTCAGGGCAGACAGATCCTGGGACTATGGGCAGCCAAGGTGAGAGCAGAAAGAAACAGACCCAGCGCCTAGGCTGACAGTGGCACAGTCCTGCAGGCAGGCTGGGCTCCAGAAAGGCACAGGGGCTCGTGGAAGGGGCTCTCTGGACACAGAGCCTGAGGGGAGCACGGCCTGCAGACCAAGAAGTCTGCCAGCTCCAAGAGCAGCTTGACCAGGTCAGGGTCAGACAGCAGCCTCTCTCTTTCTTTTTTCTTTAAGTATATTTTTATTGATTTTAGAGAGGAAGGGAGAAGGAGAACCATCAACTGGCTGCTTCTTGCATGCCCCCTACTAGGGAGGAGGTCTGCAACCCAGGCATGTGCCCTGACCAGGAATCGAACCGTGACCTCCTGGTTCATAGGTCAATGCTCAACCACTGAGCCATGCTGGCTGGGCAGCAGCTCTCCTTCAGAGGGGCCCTGAAAATTCCAAATGGAATGAGCTGCCCTTAGAACCAAGTTTTCTTTCTTCTGGACCAACAATCTAGCTCAATTAAGGGCTCAATCATCAGGCTATAAGAACTGACCCAAATACAGACCCTGGAAAAATCATCAAGGGCCCTAGCAAAAGACATCATGGACACTCCCAGAGACCCTAGCAGACAGTCCCATGTGCTCTGCGATCTGTAGAACACCTACGGAGACTCTATACTTAGTGAAGGGCAGCATTAGGACGGCCTGGAGCAGGAGTGGCATTTAGTCAGCTGGAACCTGCAGCGGCCCACACCGCAGTCAGCTTGATCTGCACTGAAGCACAGAGCTTCACACTCCACACCTGGATGGGTATGAAAATTGATGACAGACCTGGCTGACTCCCAGGGTCCTGCCTAAATAGACCTCTCTCCTCCAAAAAGCCAGAGGAAGGGGAAGGAGTATCATCAGGACTGAACACAGAAATGCTTTGGTCGGTGTCCCCTCCTACCCCCCATTTCAAGACCAGATAATAATCATTTCGATTTTTGTTGTTAATCCTCACCCGAGGATATTTTTTCCATTGATTTTTAGAGAGAGTGGAAGGGAGGGAGGGAGGAGGGGGTAGGACAGAGAGAGAGAGAAACATCAATGTGAGAGAGACATATTGATTGGTTGCCTCCCACATGTGCCTCGACCCGTACCAGGGATGGAACCTGCAACCCAGGAACATGCTCTCGACCAGGAATCAAACCTGAGACCCTTCAGTGTGTGGGATGATGCTCCAACCACTGAGAACACAGGCCAGGGCCATTTCAATTTTTAAATGGCACTTTTCAATCTGCCTTTTCTATTATGAGCCAGAGCCTCCAGCAGAAAGAAAACAGGCAGGACACAGACAGAGCCAGGTGGTTAGAGATCAGTGGCTTGACAAATTAGGGCTTTAGCCCTAGCCGGTTTGGCTCAGTGGAAAGAGCGTCAGCATGTGAACTGAAGGGTCTCGGGTTCAATCTCCAGTGTGGGGGTGTGGGAGGTAGCCAATCAGTGATTCTCTTTTATCACTGATGTTTCTCTTTCTCTCTCCTTCTCTCTTCCTCTCTAAAATCAATAAAAATATATTAAAAATTAGGGCTTTAACAACACCTTATTCCCAACTTTATTTCTTAAGTTCATTTCTAAGGCATTTTACACATACCTAAGATTACCTATTGACTATTTCAAAAAGGTTTTAGAAAAGAATATTTGATATCTATGCTTTTGACCGCAGAGAAACTTTTATTATCACTAGAGAACTGGAGAACAAGGGAAAACAAACAGAACATACTGCTTTAGATTTAAGAGACAAAATAACTAAACCAGTCTTTTGAAGATTTCTGAAATGGAGAGCTAACCCTACCATCTGTTGAGTGAAAAGGACCTTTTAAGGAGTGACAATGAGAACGAGGCAGGCTCTAGCAGAATTTAGACTTCTCCTCTAAAAGACCCCTCCCCTCACCAGCTAGATCCATAGGTGAATGCTGATTATTCCAGCCCCCAGCCCAGATGACCCCTCCACATCCACCCCACCAGCCCCTGAACCACTCACTCTGGTCGGCAGATCACCAGGTCTCCCTTGTTGGTACCATAGGCCAGGCCGAGCCCAGGCTCAGGCAGCCAGCGGGCAGAGTTGATGCTGACATGTCTCCGCTGGTCAGCAGGCATGGGATAAAGGACGTTGAAAACTCTCTGGGGGAGGGAGGGGGGAGAAAGAGGGAAGAAAAGAGAATGAGAGGAGAAACAATTTGTTATCAAGAATAACAAAATCCAGGGAGAAACAAAGTCCCTTCTATGGCCTGAAGCAAGCTAAGTACAGGGAGGAAAGGAGATGGTTAGGCTGGGAATGGGTGACTCCTACCACAAATTTGAGAACTTGGGGTAGCAGAGGGGAGGAGAGGGCTAGGACTCTTTCAAGAAATAACAGGGGCAAGCGTGGGCTTTTCTGCATGAAGCTTGGTGTGCTTTCCTTACAGCCATGTAGCACCGCTCACATCACTGCTTTAAGGCAACTCCCTGGAAAGCCCCATTCAGAGCTCAGCTCACCTGGAAGCACAGCCCCCAACTGTCCTCTGACCAGATAAACCAGCGAGAGCCAAGCTCAACCGGTGGTCCTATCACCATGGAAATCACAGTCTCGCACAGCAATGGGGAATTGAAGGGAATGGGGAGGGAGGATAACATTGGAGAATACTCTTTTTTTTTTAAGAATGCAGTTTCTTTTTTCTCTTCTTTTTTAAAAATGTATTTTTATTTCAGAGAGGAAGGGAGAGGGAGAGATAGAAACATCAATGTTGAGAGAGAATCACTGATTGGCTAACTCCTGTATGCCCCCTACTGGGGATCAAGCCTGCAACCCAGGCATGTGCCCTTGACTGGAATCGAACCTGGGACCCTTTAGTCCGCAGTCCGACGCTCTATCCCCTGAGCAAAACTGGGTAGGGCGAGAACACTATGAATTCGTCTAAATAAAAACAATGTTTAAAGGTGCAATAAGGTGTAGAAAGTAGGGCAGAGGGGAATCTTGAACACACAGTTACATGATTTCTTTCTACCTTATGCAAATCACCATTAAACAGTTTATTTCCATTCCTCAAAGAAAGAGCGTCTCCTTTCAACAGCCTGCATCTTTCCAAAGCTACTGTTTTCCCAGGGGCAGCTCAGCTATGGCCAGGGTTTGAGCTGAAGGTGAAAGAAAGCCTCCAGTCTCTTTGTTCACTGGTCTACACGGTGTTAGTCAGATAGGGTAGGGCCGTGGAAGACGAAGGACGTCGATTTCAGAATTTGAAAGACCTGGGTTTGAGTCCTGATGTCACTGCACCACAACTTTTCCAGATCTCAGTTTAAAAAGAGCACCAACATTCAAATAATTGGAGAGATTGGAAAAAAAAAAAAAAAGATGTACAGAAAATGCCTGGCATGATGCAATCTTATAAATGGTAAGTGTTGTTATTATTACCAGGGACCTGCATCTGGGACTTCAAGAAAAGGTTGTCAGGGCTTTTGAAAAGGACATGAAGTAGAGAATCCGCAATTGGAATTTTAGTCAATATGGTGTTTCTCCCTTTAAGCCTCCTCAGGTTTTAATCAATAAATAGGAATGAACTTCATCTGCCTTTATCTGTCTGTAAGGACTGACAAAAGAAACAAAAGAGACCAGATGAAGAGTGTGAGTTAGAAAGTAATATTCAAAAGTGAATTCAGGGTGATACAATATTTATTTTTCTGATTAGCCTGATAGATTTAAAAAAGGAAAAAGAAGTAAAAATTGAGTAGGGGCCCACTGCATGTACACAAATCGAGTCATAAGAAGTCCTGGATTTGGTACTGCTCGACCATGCGCCTTGGGTATTTATTCGAAAGGCCTTCCCCAGGACAGGCCCCAGGACAGGCTCTAGAATAGCATGTGTTCTCAGCATACCGACACACAGAGAACCCTGCTATGAAAGATTTCCCGGTGCTGTGGTGCTGAACAAACGTGCCCGGGCACACTGCCAGAATGGCCCTGCAATGTCCTGAGGGTGAACTGGTGTCTGTCGGAGATGAACTGGCTCTGGTTTGAGGCACGAGACTGCCCCACAGCTGCTGCATGAAGAACCTCCTATGCCCTGCCTAACTCAACTCCAAATGTCAGAATTGGCCAGGGTTCCTTAAATCTCTAGTCTAACTGAGGAACCTTCTAAAAAAAGAGCCTAGTGTTGTATATGAATCTCTAAACTAGTCCTCTAGAACATGGTTGCTCGGCCTTGAGATAATCTCTTCCTTGCACATGTACATCTGGCAGGAGCCCTGAAGAAATTCATGTCCTCTTCCCTCCACCAGCTTCACTGCTGACTATCCATGGAGATGGCAATACCAGTCTTTTCCCTTTGCTCCTAATCAATCCTTTTCCTTCAAATCAGGGGATGGAGCGTGGTGCCTTCATCCTTTCCCACAGAGGTTTTCGCATTCCCAGAAAAGAAGCGATGGCTTCAGTCCTTCCTAGAGGTCATAGGTTAAATATGATTTGGTATTCACACTTAAAGGAAAGCAGTTGTGATAAGACAATTGTGGCTGAAATCAATCTGTTGATTTTTTCTTTTCCCAAAGGTCAGATGGTGTGAGTGGGGGTACACCCAGAGTAGAGGAGGAATGAGCATTAATTTCAGTGCATTAGATGAGGGGAGCCTTAGTATACAAGGGCCTTACAACAGTCTCTTTCCTAAAATCATGATTTATAATTGCAGGGAATGGGGCAGAAGGGCCAGAGAAAGTACTCTTGCAAGAAGGGGGTAATAAGGTCAGTAAATCAGATGCTTAAAGGTTGTGCTACGTTTTTTGATGGGTGTCTCAAATAAAAAATATAAGTGTACTCTTTTCTTTTTTAAATATATTTTTATTGATATCAGAGAGGAAGGGAGAGGGAGAGAGAGAAAGAAATATTGATGAGAATCACTGATTGGCTGCCTCCTGCACGTCCCCCACTAGGGGTTGAGCCTGCAATCCAGGCATATGCCCTGACTGGGAATCGAACTGTGACCTCCTGGTTCATAGGTTGATGCTCAACCAAGGAGTCACGCTGGCAGGGCTAAGTGAACTCTTTTCTAGAAATGTTCCAGATCAGGAAAGAAGCAAACAATTCTCTCACATATCACAAATTTACCTTTTATAGTTATTGCTGAGAGGGATTCACAAGCAAACTTTCAACTTACTTCTAAATACAGGAACTTGCTTTGGGGACAAACCCTCAAGAGGCTAGTATGACAAATGACCCACCTTAGGTGAGACAAGATGAGAGAAATTGGAGAGAAGTAATTAACAGTTGAGGCTCCAGACCCCATTGCACAGACATTCACAACCTCCATGGCTCTAGGAGTCATGGGCACCGATTTGTCCTCTGGCTATGGCAGTCCTCCCCTCTCCCCCCTCCCGACGCTCACCCCTCAGTCCTTAAACAATGTTGAAAAGTCAGCTCCCAAGGGCCCACCTCCTTCAATCTGGGTATCAGACTAAATCCTGCTTTGTGGCAGGAAGCCAGAAACGCCACATGAAGATCAGCAGCCTCCAGGACTCCTGATAAGCACATGCTTGCTTATCACGCTCTAATGTGGGGATGGGATGATGCAAACAGTAATGGGCGGGAGGTGGGGAGAGGGAATGAGAGTGAAGGATGAGCAGGGATCACAGGTCCCGGGAGGTCATCTGGTGCAGTACTTATTTCATACGTGCCTGACACTAAAGACTAAAGGAATGAGATCTGGCCCATTCTGAAAACCACTCAGAGACGTAGTTTACACTCGTTTCTCTGGCCAGAGCTTCACAGCTCTCAAAGCACCTCACTGAGGGGAAATACTCCTCACTAGTCAGCCCGAGGGACAGGAGAACATCTGGGCAACAAGTTCCCCAACCCTGACAGATGATTAGACAGTGCTAGCTACTCTCTAGCCATTTATGGTTTTGGCCACCGGTCTTTCCAATCAGGGACTGGGTATTCTGTGAGTCGCCTTTCAAATTTCAATGGGGACTGACTCTGGCTGTTTGTCAGCGCAGACAAGAAGGAAGATTTGAGATAGTGTAAAGAACAGCTCTGGACTTCACTTAAAGGCAACCCAGATATACCAAGTAAAGGTTTCCTTAACACTGGTCAGGTGCCCTGAAGCTCCGTATGGGGATGTTAAGGATAAATCTGGTGGCCTGTCAAAAACCCCCTTTTCTCTCTGACAAAAGTGAAACCCCATAAAGTTAGATTACCAAATTCCATTACACTGGAGGAGGAGTATCAGGACCTGGGGGCCTTTTGTGGGTCTGGATACAGAACCCAGATGCTGATCGCTGGCAGAGTCCAGGGTTCACCTGTCTCAGCTGCAGCTGTTCCCTGGTGTATGACAAATGCTGACAAAGCTCCCCTCCCCAAGCAGGCTATACTCATTTCTGTCTAACATCTAGGAAGCACACTGGGATCAATAGGTTAGAAAGAACCAATTTTTTAGAGTCAATGCCATCAGCATGGCAACAGAGAATGAGTCAGGTTGCCAAGATCGGTATGGTTCTATGGTTGTGGCGGAAGATAATTCTTCCACTTCTGGGATCCAAGACAAGCTCATATACTACTGCCCCTCCATACCCTCAAACTCATAGTTCCCAGATCAAAACTAAAGTGGTCTTGTTTCTTGTTCAAAGATACAGGAAAAGAATGAGAGGCAGTCAGAGGAGCTCAGTGGGAAACCTTCCTCTCCATCCTTTTAAAATTTAGAGGAAAAATGTATTGCTGCCCTTGCCAAGATACTTTATCTTCTACCGAGTGTCAATAAAGCTCAGACCATTCATTAGTCCAAGCAGCGACTGCACTGCTCAGACCAGCCCAGATAAGAAGCTAAAAGAAAAGACTTTGCGGTTATGTTGTTTACATTTGGGGATCGCATCATCTGTAAAGCTGGAACCTCACCATGTGGCAAGAGTTTGAGTGTAGTCAGCAGACCTCCCTTATTTTAACTAAGACTACGGAGCTGGCTGGAAGGAGGGGACAATGGGAAATAGGCTGGAAGGGCCCTGGGAGAAAGCGTGAGCCACGGGGGCTTAGAGAAAGAGAAGGACTGTGTGGGAGAGAAATGCTTTCTGGGCAGTGATGGGAATCAAGGGAAGCTTTAAGCTTCTAGAGGGGTTACCAGAGGAGAATGAACTCTGTGAAGCGGGGAAAATCCATGGAAAGCAGG